TCGGGCGCTGGGGCCTGACGACATCTTTGTCATGCTTGCTAGCTGTGATTTGGCTTTTTTCTTCAAGCCTTTCATTTACTCTCTATTTTTAAACAAAATACACTTTAGTATTTACATGAATCACTCTCTTATGAAATTTTTGAAAATATATTTTTGCTCAAGTTTGTTTTTGCACTTCTTTGTGCATTTGTGATCGTCTGAGAACTTCCGTCTGCTGCGCGGTTAGTAGATTACTGGAAACACAAACGACATGTTTATTTTATTTTTATCTTATTCAAAAAAATGTATTTCTCATTGTCTTCGTAGCTAGTTGTTGTTCACAGTTGTCACATTTTGTTTTCCATATAATGCTTCTGAAATGTTTGACTGTCGTCTGGCGACGAGTAAAGGTGTATTCAACTCAGTTAACTTCAAGTTGGCTAAAGTAATTCGATATCTAATTATTATTAGAATTTACTCTGTCGACTGTGCAAGGAGGTTAATGAGGCTTGTTTCCACTAATATTGTAAAAGAGACCCGACAAAGATGTCAAAGATGCTTGTCAATGATGTGTATGTATTTACATAGAAGTTTTGCTTTTTCCAGCTGGTTTACTCCACTTCTGGAAGTGTTATACGGGGCACCAACGAGTCAATGAAGCCACAAGCTGGGCTGTAAGTTAAATCCGGACTCCTAGGTCCAGAATGTAAATTCGTCTTTCAAAGACCGGTTCATCCAGAGACCTGTTTTGAGGATCTATGGTTTATAATATGACATGCATTGTGCAAATACACATAAAATGTATTCAATTTACTTGGTAATTCATACTAGATTTCCCATTTCCATTTACTAGTATTCTATCTATTATAATAAGTCTTCGCACTTTCCATAACCACCGTGAAAATAACAGAAAACGGACCCCCGGCCGCTCAAATTGTTAAGTCAATGCCTGCGATTGTAGTAATTGTCTAAATAATAATATTATGTGGTACAAAAAATCAACACTTTATTTGAATAGGTGCTATTATTATTATTGGAATGACTGTCATTCCAAGAAATGTTGGACTATATCTCATGTTTTTGCGAATTTAGTTGATTTCGTGTATAAATATAATCGCCAACCACCCTCTGCTGGCGGAATTGACACTCGCGAACATATGCGTTGTAAAGACAGTACCGAGGAATGCATCGGTTAATGTTGTTTACATCTACATTTTTATGTAAATCGACATTTTAACGAACCCAAAACAGCTAAATGTAGTGTTGTCTTCCGTATTGTTTCTCTTGTAATTGGACCTGGTTGGACACTACGAGTAAATTATTTTATGTATTCATAGTTACCCGAACGAATAATCTCAGTAACGACGGCATACGTTTTTCGTATATCAACTTGGTATATCACGGTATAGTGACAGCAACAGTTTAATGCACAATCCTACACCGACCTTTCTGACTTGCACTGGCTAGTTGTGGCCTACACATCGGATGTTTATATCATGGTTTGAGTGGCAAATTCATGAAAATTCATACTGTATCTCATTATTATTGAGTGACATCAACGATTATTAATTTAAATCTGAAGTTCTCGTTATAATTGGCCACATAATTGGGCATCCCATGTATTATATGGATATAACTATTACATCTCTATTTCCGAGGTATTTATATTGATGATTATGTATAATTTCATAGGAAAACGTGTTCACTATTAAAGTTGCATTTAAAGGGAGATCTTTGTAGCATTAGTACTAACAACGACGGCATCGCGTTTACAATAATTATATAACTACTTTTATTACTACATAATATCCCTCGGAATGGGTTACGAAATGTAAAAATATAAAAGCTCAAAGAAAGGTGTATGTTCTTATCTATGTTGAGTACTTGAAAATATGAATTGTGCGAGAGGCACTGGCATGTCATAGTTACCCACCAGGTATACACATTTTATTTTTTTTTTTTTTTCAGCATTTGAGAATATGTTTTCTTCCGCATTTGATATAGAGTACAGTTCATTACAAATTGTTGCACATCGTCATAGTTTTCACAGATTCGCTTAAGGGCAGGTACATTAGAATGGCGATAACGTTATAATTTCAATGATTGGTTACTTTTATCGGAATCTGGTGAGAGATTCACGAAGATCAATATTTTTTTCAAGTCGATTAAATACTGATCAATATGAATATCCTTTTTTAAAACAGCCTGTAAGTTCGTAATTTATTATTTGCGTTACGATTTGTCTCCTTGTCATTGCTGATATATTCCGTCCACTATGCTTCAAGCTTTATATAATTATTGGGCAATTTTGATGCAGTAATTTTTGTGTTTGTATTCATGTGGCGTTAGTGATAGGTATTTTCAGATCAATTCGATTTGGGTACTATTACCATCTTTCGGGGGCGGGGTGCATTGAGGCCTTTTCTTTTAGACTGATAACTAAACCGACGTAGTTACATTTGTTTACAGAATAAAGTTTCTTCCCTTCAGCAATATGTTTGATTTCTCAATATCATTATCTAGTATGCCATTTTACAACAGCGGACATAAATACAAGAGAGACATTGCTATAACTAGCACAGCAGTTTGGGTGAACACGGGCGTATTCAGTTTGTGTTTAAATAAGAGCATAATATATTTTAATCGTATTTCCCTTGGCCCTGCATTCAGTAGCACGGATACACTGGCAATTCACAGAACAATTATCTTTACTAACCTTTGGCACAAACACTAGACACAATGTTAGCGTTGTACAGAAGAGAATAAACACAGAGATAATTCCGAAAGCAGCGTTGGTATCGTCTTGTATAATGAAAGACAAAGCAGCACCAATCATACAAGCCACGACTATGTTATAGACGCTCATACCGATGTATTTACTATCGTTTAATGCAGGTATACTAACGTGGCGAGTCTCCCAGGCGAGAAAACATCCAAACACCTAATAAAATACAGAATATGTTAACAGTTGTGACTTCACTTTGCCGCCCCTCACTGTGTAGCTTTGTGGCCCATTATGATACATGATGATCCAAGTTTTGTTTAAACCATGCGATTTCATTCCTTTGTACTTTGGTTATTTAAAGAGCTAGGGTCACATTGGCAGAACGTATTTTACATCAAAATTTCCTCAGATATGTCCTAATAATGCAATAATCCTGACATGCAGCTGACTGTTTATTGAAAATCTTCCTGGTGTTCACACAAATATCCAATATACAAAATAACTTGCATTTTGAGAAAGGGTCTCATTCTTAGTCACCGGATACTAGATAAACTAATCACATGGCGTACAATGCCCATTTCGCGTTTTTTTGTGTGGAGAAAATGGACACAAAATGTGCGGTTTTACAAAAATTGACACATTACTGACAATAGAAAATCACCTTGTCATAAGTAATATTTTATAAAATTATGACTATAACACCGATAACGACAATTTAGGATTAATGTTTCTCGAGGAATGATATTTATTTTACTGCAATGCACACGAGTACTCTTTCATCCAATCATAAATTGCAGCTATTAAAACAAACCAATGTAGTTTGCATATTTCCCGACCTTCTTTAAGATAAATAATTTAACAAATTTCTCATACTATATTCTTACCATAAGCACCCCTTTATAGACATAAATAGCTGCCAGCCATATCGTCATCTGAACACTCTGACACTGCTGCATAATAGGGATAATAGTGACGTCAGCATTTCCTCCTGGGTCTGGCTGTAATATATACAATCCATTAAATGTAAATCACATGAATGAAGCTTCTTTACAAACAAATAAATCATGCACTTATGGATAGTATGAATACATGGATAGCATTTATTGCAACTCACGTGTCTACTCAATATATAATAGATGTTTTGTTTGAATCTTTCATGCCGGTAAACTGTGCACATTTTTACGTTTGAGAATATTATATCATTATGGCAAAGTAGATTCAACACGTTGCTTAATTTTATCTTGCTGGTAAATATCTCGTCCGCTAATACTTTAGGTTACTTGCTCTACCTAGACGCAAATGGATGCATAGGTGTCGTGGAAGGCGGGAGAACCACGAGACTTATTTTGCCCCAATCTCCGTTCCAATCTCTCCCGTCATCGCATTCAATGTTCTAAAATACCATGGTTATGTAGATCAGTGGAGCAACAGATGCAATAACGGGGCGATGACGGGTGAGAATTGAACACAATTTGTGGGGCAAAAACGAACAAGTCTCGTCGCTATCTCGCTCTCGAGACGTCGGCGACCAGTTGTGTCATTCTGGAGCATACACAGTAAACTGATAAACTGTTTTTTTTACCTCCTCTGGTGCCTCGATAAGTTTTCGTCTTAGTGGATCTTTAATATCCCACGATATTAGTATAACAACGTCTACTAATAAAAGAATTCCTACAATAGTAAACAGCCTATGGTCACGTATAACCTGGAAACAATTCACAAATCGCAAAATAAGTATACGATACCACGAAAGCGATGTTACAAGTACTTGTGGAATGTATCTGGGTGTTATTAATTATAAAATCAATGCAATTCTCATACCACCACTGTGTTAAATTCATTATTGTACTCGACATTTTATTACTAATACATTCGTATCATAGTTATGACTACAATAGTGATGCATTCCATTCTCAATTTACACTGACTGTGGATGTTTATAATTATAAACATCCATTCGTTTGGGTGGCGAGATTCATTCGAACTTATTATATTTTGGCAGAATATCAACAATAGATCCGGATATGAATACCTTTTTCTTCATCTTTATATTAGTGAATATACTGTGTACTCTCCATGTTTTGCTAAACATTGCTCCAAATGAAAGCGTGAACCCAATTGCTAGGAGCCAAGCTCGAGCCTAAGAAGACAAATAAATAATTGCAGAACAGACGTAACTGTTATTTGTCATTATTTGAAATAAAGAAATAACAAAGCACACCCAAAATATATACAAATTGATGACAGACGCAAGTTAAAGCGGGAGGGTCGTCACCTGCGCACGCGCGGGAATTGAGTCCCAAGCGACGATAACAACACACGTTAAAACGCAAAGGCTTATGGGTAGACGCTTGCTTGTAAACAATGACACGCTATGGTCATCTGACGCATGCGCCGGTGACGACCCCCTGCTTTAATACTACATTAAAATATATGATATAATTAATGTACTTTTCTGGAGGTCATCATTCAAGAAAACATTACAATGTCATTCATTTGTTCAAGTTGTGTTATTGATTAAGAATTTCAACATAATAAAACACATAATGTTTTGTTGAGCAGTATCTTTGCATCGACACGTAGTATAAATTCAGGTTACGACTAATGCTCAAATTCTCGTCCACTTTATAGTATCGTTCGTTTTCAATTGAACTGTGCCAATCATGATTGTATTCTCGAGTGAAAGGTAGTGCCAATACTGTAGGCCATTTGCAGACAAAAAAATCAATACGAACTTTGAACAACAAGTCAACAACAACGCTCTCCATTGACGGGGCGCTTCTGTGACGTCAGCATGACGCATATGGGTGGAAGTATATGGATCGACAAATGCCCTTGGTTATGTAGTTGTTCGTCATGTAGAATAGAGTAAAACCTTTCAAAACATAATTTTTATTGATGAACAACTACAGATTAAAACAATATCGACGCTTTGAAACGTCTAAGTCATAGAAGCGCCTCGTCGACTTTTAAGAAAGACGTATTAGTCGTTCTAATTTGACATAGTTTTGCACAAATGTCACTGTTCTAGGTTTACCGTATTAACGCTATAGAAAAACATGAAATTTCAGTCAAGCAACTTGAAGTCTAGCCATGAAATCAATAACTGTTAAAATGTGCATATTTGTCACAAAAATAAAAAGAAAGAGTATACGCATCTAAAAGTGATGCAATATAATTAAGAAATAAATAACAGAAGAACAATAAACTTACTGAACAAACAATTTCAAAAGACAAATCGTCGATTTCGTGATTGTCAAGGCCAATAACATAAATGGACGCATAACAAAATATTCCACCGATTATAATAAGATTATTGATATATGGACTCGACATCTTTATATATCTGAAAATCCAAACAGAAGTACAGTATTCAAGTGTGACCATTGAATGCACACGCACTACCACATTTTCATGCTGTTACTCAAATTCGTTGCTCAATGTTTCGAGAATTGTACTGGATCCAACAAAATAAAAATAAAACAAGACAATCTATACTTCGCCTTGCTTTGATGCTCTGTAAGTAACAAGAAAATCACGGACGAAACTACACATGAATTTGAGGGGATTAGCTCCAAATGTTCAATATAAAGACATTTTCTTAATTTCATTTATTTCGTCTATTTTATCTTTGAATGTCGATAAAAGCGTATGACATGATATGAACCTAAGCAACGAATCCAATTTAGTATAACGCCCTCAACGGAATGGATATGGAATTACCATTCAGGAGACTTTTTCTGTAATAGTAGTATAAATGTAATGTGACTAGACGCTGATTTAATTAACGGCTTTAGGTTATGCAGGTGACACGCAATTTGTAAGGGAAATCTATCAACTTGAGAGCAGAATGACGAGTACAAAGAAAACATCCGACGACAATAATGATTGAATTATTGTTGGTATAATACTAGATGTGCGCTGCACACAAACGTAGATGGAGAGCATTCACTTAATAGACTACGTATAACAACACCTGCGGCTGTCGTTTTCCAATTAATTACAACAAGTCAGAATACGATGTAGATAACTGAGAAGTAACTGTAATTTCTTTATACTTTAAACCGATTGTTATTGAAGAACATGAAAAAATAAATCATACACCTTGCATAACAAGTTTTGCAAATACTGTATTGTTTGTGCGATATGACATTTGATCATTGCGATTTCCGTGAGGCCATCGCGGCATTGGTGAACTACTGTTGAATAGGAGGAAAAGCGTTCAGATGGCACAATCTTTCATTAAAAGATTGAAATTATTTGAATCTGTATGTTTTACAATATGGCAATGTAAGCACAGTATGCTTTGTATGTATGTATGTATGTATGTATGTATGTATGTATGTATGTATGTATGTATGTATGTATGTATGATTTTAGTTTAATACCATTTTACAATGAGATCGTGCAAGTCTTTGTATGCAAAGAAAAACTATCGACATTCTTGGCATTTGTTCTTACACTAATAACGCACAGCCTATATACAATCAAACGCTTATCAGTTATTCTGATCCATTATTCATTAAACCGACTCCGCTGTCTGCAAGGTTGTTTCTTATCTCCACCCCCAGTGGCTTATATTCACTGTCACTATCTTACGCTGTTACTAGTAGTTTTTGCCCGTCTGTGTATTTGTTCAAAATGCAGTCTGATCGATCGTTACAGCTGCTGTTACAAAACAATTCGCGATGATTACATACTGCCTGTATAAGTGGGCTGTCTGTCTGAAATGATACGCATATAGAGCACATGGTCGACTAACAGGATTGAATTATTCCTTCACATTCACGTCGCATGTCAGCATGCATTTAATTCAATATTTTAGTCATGAATGTTGTTATTCACTTCTATAAAAAATATTATATGCACACACTCCAGCAAATTTTAAGTTTAGGGTGTAACTAGGAAATAATCACGAATTATATTTACCTGTGTTTTCTAAATCTCATGTTAAAAAATAAAAACAATAGAGCCAGCAAGATACCGAGGTAACTAAGACAACACATTACAATATACAAAACGAATGATATTCCCCGTGGTATACGGTAAATCAGTGGCTGGTCTCTGGGTGGCGAACCATCTATGGATACAAACAAGAATATAATATTAATATGCATGACTTATTGAATTCTAACGTGAATATATATACGATAGTGAACACAGACGACGTCACGAGCACTGGGTAAGCCTACATTAATGTTTCTAGTAGCTGCAATATGGAATTGTCTGTTATAATTACTGGTGTAATAATATAAGTGTTAAATACAGGTGACATGAAACTGTTTATAATATAATTTGTAAGTAAACTTATACATCCGCACTCTCTAGGCTAGTGGTATCGGCAGTATTTGGAATAGTCTATATGCATTACTTACCGGCCCATACTATGTCCCCTGCACTCAAGTTAAACATGTCACTGTAAGCATAGAATTCACCAACTATCTTCTCTCTTGCACCTTCGAGAGATACAAAACCGGAACTACATTGAGTATAACGAATAGAGAGTGCTGATATGTTACTTCCGTTATAACTGCATGACTACCGTATTTTTTCCAAACAGTTTTAAAACAACTATACCCTCCAACATCGAATGTGTTTTTTTAAACATGAATAATAGTGTTGATAGTATATGTAGATACAACAAGATGATATCGTGGCCCATAGTTGTGTTTTCATGATACATAGACCAGACATTTGCACTGATAAGATCATAAATTATTTCGTATATGTCTAACCAGTTCAATATATCTCCAATTTCATGAACTGATAGGAACATGATAATTCAGAGCCGTTTCCCTATGTAATGTATATTATTCCCATGGTTAAATAACGCATGTTTGAAAATACCTATATTTTAAACATGACTTTGTGATGCTATGGATGTACTGTTTTGAGTTGTTTAGTCACGCATTTTTATTAATTAAAATGACATTTGCTTGATTTAATGACATGTTAAATGTGAACCACAAACAGAAACAGTTACTATAATACCTTGGAACTGTTTGTACAAAATTGTACCAAGTCTATTGCCATCTTTGAATTTCACTGGACCCTGAAATTAACAATTAAATACAATCAGCCACGAACAAAATAACGTATGATTGAATGAATGAATAAATGAGTGAAATAGGCAACTTAATACGAAATACATTTACATTTTGTTAAATAGAATGTGTTAATCCATCAACATGTATCTGTTACATAAATATTATCTTACGTAACATAATCTACAAATGAAAATCAGCACTAGAGACTATTCTTTGTTTTATAACATCTACTTTGAAATTACAGTGAAAGGCGCATATCTGGAAGCTGAACACGTACAACACTAGAACTGTAATAATATAAGCGAGGTGCGCCATATCCATTGCAATCAGAACAGTAAAGCAGGGCATTATCAAGAAAGTTGAGAGATGCATTGAATGACAAGATACTTTAGATATCAATTGCAGTTGAGTTAAGCATTGTATATCACAACAGTTGAGTTAAGCATTACATATCACAACAGTTGAGTTAAGCATTGAATATCACGACAGTTGAGTTAAGCATTGCATATCACGACAGTTGAATTGAGCATTGCATATCACTACAGTTGAGTTAAGCATTGCACATCACGACAGTTGAATTGAGCATTGCATATCACGACAGTTGAGTTAAGTATTGCATATCACTACAGTTTAGTTAAGCATTGCATATCACGACAGTTGAGTTAATCATTGCATATCACGACAGTTGAGTTAAGCATGGCATATCACTACAGTTGAGTTAAGCATTGCATATCACTACAGTTGAGTTAAGCATTGCATATCACTACAGTTGAGTTAAGCATTGCATATCACGACAGTTGAGTTAAGCATTGTATATCACGACAGTTGAGTTAAGCATTGCATATCACTACAGTTGAGTTAAGCATTGCATATCACTACAGTTGAGTTAAGCATTGCATATCACGACAGTTGAGTTAAGCATTGCATATCTAAACATTTGAGTTAAGCATTGCATATCACGACAGTTGAGTTAAGCATTGCATATCAAAACAGTTTAGTTAAGCATTGCATATGACGACAGTTGAGTTAAGCATTGCATATCACGACAGTTGAGTTAAGCATTGCATATCACTACAGTTGAGTTAAGCATTGCATATCACGACAGTTGAATTGAGCATTGCATATCACGACAGTTGAGTTAAGTATTGCATATCACGACAGTTGAGTTAAGCATTGCATATCACTACAGTTGAGTTAAGCATTGCATATCACGACAGTTGAGTTAAGCATTGCATATCACTACAGTTGAGTTAAGCATTGCATACCACTACAGTTGAGTTAAGCATTGCATATCACTACAGTTGAGTTAAGCATTGCATATCACGACAGTTGAGTTAAGCATTGCATATCACAACAGTTGAGTTAAGCATTGCATATGACGACAGTTGAGTTAAGCATTGCATATCACGACAGTTGAGTTAAGCATTGCATATCACGACAGTTAAATTGAGCATTGCATATCACGACAGTTGAGTTACGCATTGCATATCACTACAGTTGAGTTAAGCATTGCATATCACGATAGTTGAATTGAGCATTGTATATCACGACAGTTGAGTTAAGCATTGCATATCACGACAGTTGAATTGAGCATTGCATATCACGACAGTTGAGTTAAGCATTGCATATCACGACAGTTGAGTTAAGCATTGCATATCACTACAGTTGAGTTAAGCATTGCATATCACTACAGTTGAGTTGAGCATTGTATATCACTACAGTTGAGTTAAGCATTGCATATCACTACAGTTGAGTTAAGCATTGCATATCACGATAGTTGAGTTAAGCATTGTATATCACGACAGTTGAGTTAAGCATTGCATATCACGACAGTTGAGTTAAGCATTGTATATCACTACAGTTGAGTTAAGCATTACATATCACGATAGTTGAGTTAAGCATTGTATATCACGACAGTTGAGTTAAGCATTGCATATCACGACAGTTGAGTTAAGCATTGCATATCACGACAGTTGAATTGAGCATTGCATATCACGACAGTTGAGTTACGCATTGCATATCATTAAGTTGAGTTAAGCATTGCATATCACGACAGTTGAGTTAAGCATTGCATATCACGACAGTTGAGTTAAGCATTGCATATCACGACAGTTGAGTTAAGCATTGCATATCATTACAGTTGAGTCAAGCATTGCATATCACGACAGTTGAGTTAAGCATTGCATATCACGACAGTTGAATTAAACATTGCATATCACTACAGTTGAGTTAAGCATTGCATATCACGACAGTTGAGTTAAGCATTGCATATCACTACAGTTGAGTTAAGCATTGTATATCACGACAGTTGAATTGAGCATTGCATATCACGACAGTTGAGTTAAGCATTGCATATCACGACAGTTGAGTTAAGCATTGTATATCACTACAGTTGAGTTAAGCATTGCATATCACTACAGTTGAGTTAAGCATTGCATATCACTACAGTTGAGTTAAGCATTGCATATGACGACAGTTGAGTTAAGCATTGCATATGACGACAGTTGAGTTGAGCATTGTATATCACAACAGTTGAGTTAAGCATTGCATATCACAACAGTTGAGTTAAGCATTGCATATCACAACAGTTGAGTTAAGCATTGCATATCACAACAGTTGGGTTAAGCATTGCATATCACGACAGTTGAGTTAAGCATTGCATATCACAACAGTTGGGTTAAGCATTGCATATCACGACAGTTGAGTTATATGTTGTATATTAGGACTATTCAGTTATGCATTGCGTATCAGGACAGTTAGTTAGTGCATTGTAATAGGACAGTTGGGTTCTGCCTAGTATATCAGGAAAGTTAAGCCATGCATATAGAGAAAGTTGTATTATCTAACACATATCAAGAAGTTTATTTATCAATTTATAACGGGACAGTAGAATTATGCATTACATATCAGGAACGTTGAGATATGCATTGTATATTATGCCAGTTTATTTATGCATTGCATTATTGCATTATAGGACAGTTGAGTTATGTATTACATATTAGGAAAGTTAAGCCATATGTATCAGAAGTGTTGAGCCATGTATTACATATCAGAAAAGGTTAGTCATATGTATCAGGATAGTTGAGTTATGTATTACATATCAGGAAAGTTAAGTCACATGTATTGACAGTTGAGTTATGTATTACATATCAGGAAAGTTAAGTCATACGTATCAGGACAGTTGAGTTATGTACTACATATAAGGAAAGTTAAGTCATACGTATCAGTACAGTTGAGGTATGTATTACATATCAGGAAAGTAAAGTTATACGTATCAGGACAGTTGAGTTATGTATTACATATAAGGAAAGTTAAGTCATACGTATCAGGACAGTTGAGTACGTCATACGTATCAGGACAATTGAGTTATGTATTACATATCAAGAAAGTTAAGTCGTATGTATTTGGACAGTTGACTTATGTATTACATATCAGGAAAGTTAAGTCATATGTATCAGGACAGTTGAGTTATGCATTACATATCAGGAAAGTTAAGTCATACGTATCAGGACAGTTGAGTTATGTATTATATATCAGGAAAGTTAAGTCATATGTATCAGGACAGTTGAGTTATGTATTACACATCAGGAAAGTAAAGTCATATGTATCAAGACAGTTGAGTTGTGTATTACATATCAGGAAAGATAAGTCATATGTATTAGGACAGTTGAGTTATGTATTACATATCAGGAAAATTAAGTCATACGTATCAGGACAGTGGAGTTATGTATTACATATCAGGAAAGTTAAGTCATACGTATCAGGACAGTTGAGTTATGTATTACATATCAGGAAAGTTAAGTCATACGAATCAGGACAGTTGAGTTATGTATTACTAACATATAAGGAAAGTAAAGTCATATGTATCAATACAGTTGAGTTTTGTATTACATATCAGGAAAGTTAAGTCATACGTATCAGGACAGTTGAGTTATGTATTACATATCAGGAAAGTTAAGTCATACGAATCAGGACAGTTGAGTTATGTATTACATATCAGGAAAGTAAAGTCATATGTATCAATACAGTTGAGTTTTGTATTACATATCAGGAAAGTTAAGTCGTATGTATCAGGACAGTTGAGTTATGCATTGTATATCGGGACAGTTAAGTCATACGTATCAGGACAGTTGAGTTATGCATTGTATATCGGGACAGTTGTGTAAGTGACAATGCATACTTATACATGTTCAACTTGTGTAAGATATTGTACTTACAGTTACTCCCATAAAATCAGTCTCATTCATCGCTTCCATGAACATATCCAATATGTAAGAGTTATTATAGTCAAACTGAGTCAGTGCTGTATAGTCATCGCCAAGTTGAATTAAGACGGTATGTAAAGCTAGTGCAAGAACCCACACTCCATCGTACGCGTAACCATGGAGATTCGTAAAATTGCCACCTCGTATTTCATTGTAGTGATGTTCATACTCACTTGCTGTCTGCAAATAGAAATATGACTAATCCAATTTAATATATTACGAGAAAGTATACATGGATAAAGTGTGCCACTGAGCAGTCGGACGTACTCATGCATCATTCCTTATTAACACAAGATATAATTATAGAGATATACAAATAATACCCGAGGTTAAGATTATTATTCCAAACTAAAAATATTATATTCATGGCTTATCTTAATTCATTCCAAATTGTGACTGTGTTTGTGTTTAATTAATTTATTTGTAGCCTAACGTTCTCTACATTATTATTATTTGTATTCATCATTCACAGTGACTTGAACGATTCATCACCGTGCTTCTATTATTACTATAGCCACCAATACTGCAAATCAATGCTGGTCCGAAGTTTTTCCGCATATAAAACACACACAGAACTGGAATTATATACACAGAATTGTGAATATTGACGTTAATTAAATATAACCAATTTTATATGATACATACAAATCCAGATATGGTCTTCCCGTCGTTAGCACTCAAGGGTAGAATATCCGTTGCTAAGTAACCATCGATAGCTGTATATACGTCATCCGCGGAGCAATCGTCTAATATATCTGTGTGGTTCCACCATGTATCAGAATAGCCACCGGGGAGAATCCATACGTACTTACTACCATAGAGTTTACTCTTATATGCCTGTGCGCAATGAGTGTGTAAGAACTGATGTTATAATTCCAAAATAACAGATAAATTAAACGTTATGTCAAAACGGAAATCCAGCTACTAGTGTTACTGACAAGTTCCACTCTTCCCTTCCTGGAAACATCACTGTAATGCAAAGTACATGAGTTGCGTTAACCAGCTTTTTCTTAGAGTGCCCTACTTCAGACGTATTATAATCCCCTTTCTTGACAGGTTGTAAACGCTCTGCATTTGACCTTATCAAAGAGATTTCACGTGTGTAATCCTCAATTCTGACATACAACACACGTTCAATGTTTAACCTTCTGTAGCCAATCTTCCACATACATATCAGTGTCAACACTAAAAGCATAATGCGCCCGCCTGGGAAATCACGTTAACTTACATGACAGAAGACTTTTCTTGCCATCTCCTCTTCAAAATAACCCAAGATAATTCTCGCTCCAGATTCCTGCTCAGAAGTAGGTAAAATTTGAAAACATCAATCTATACTGTAATCCTCACTGACGGGCGTTAGTTGGTTTGAGTACAAGCACAATGGTTGTACACTCTCAAGGGACTTGCTAACTGTATCCGCTCTAATCTGGCCTGTTGATTGTACCTGATTGGTAACTCTTGATACATACCACATCAGGCAGGGCAGTGGCTAGTTATTCACCCTATTACAACATAGTCTGACCGTAGTAATTGAAGTAGTCTGAACGGTTAAATCCGTGGTAATTTTCTGTGCCACACACCACACACAGCTTCTATGTGGTTCACTCTGCGCATTACTCAACGCCAGTCTCGTTATTTGCATGAACTTTTAAGAAATCAGGATTAACACATTATATATATATTATATACACAAAGTTTGTTAATGTAAAATACCAATGTTAGGGATATTCTGATGGTTTATAATTTCGTTATGTCTAAAGTAGCTCCAATTACTGTACCCAACAACAGTTACTCATTACGTGGGCGCATTTAGGACAAAGTAGCCTATACGATGAAAGATGCATGTATGGAAATGAGAGTAATGAGGCATATAATGTTTCTGATGGAAAACCAATATCACCATGGCAACGATGGGGGATAGGTTGTGTATATTCTCCCTTGTGACCACCGATATTGAATTACATTGCGGTATATCAATTATCTGCGGTCATCCTATCAATTATCTGTAAAACAGAATGATAGAACATCCCAAGACAGACATAACAGTTATTAATTAGGTGTATCTATTCACGAAAACTTACACTTATAAGATGAACAGCACTTTCTGGGTCACTTGCGAAACTTGCTACTTTCAGTAGTTTAATTCCCGCGTCTTCAAGCTCACGCGTTAATTTGTTGTGCGCCTGCAATGCAAATCCATATAATACAAGATAAGGCGTGGAGCGTAAGAATGCATATCCATTGGGAACCCTTAAACAAGTGACGTTAAATACTCTCTGTGCGAAAGAAACGACCGTGTTTAGCGAGCCTAAGCTGTCAGCGGAGCACTCGCGAGAGCTGTAACCTGAGTATATAGCTCTATCATTCTTAAAATTGTCTATTGCCGAAGACTGATTTGACCGCAATACTGCACTTGCATTGATGAGCTAGACAAACATACAGACTGAGTTGATCTGTTTTAGCTGTTTGCATCGTGCTAACAGAATGGTGTCCACCACCTGCTTCGCCGTGCTTTGCACAGACATCTCAACATTTTGAGAAACAGCGTTACCATAATTGCATCGAGTTTAAAGCGGGCAATTCGTCACCTGCGCATGCGTCAGTTGGCCATATCGTGTCATTGCTTACAAACAAACGTCAACCCATGAGCCTTTGCATTTTTAGCGTGTGTTGTTATCGTCGCTTGGGACCCAATTCCCGCGCGTGCGCAGGTGACGATCCGCTTGAATGTATCATTTACGCCCTTAACTGTACAAACATATCACACGACGACGCAATAAAGACAGCGCGCCCTCAATCATCTGCGATTTACACCTGAGGTACATACACACTGATACGAGGTATGGGTACAACTGAGATATGTTCCTTTGATACAATATCAATCTTCAAAATATTAACGCTTGAATATTCGAATGTGGTCATCCGTGTACAATTTTCAATTCACTTACTAAGTGCAAGCGTTATTCTCATCAAGACAAATAGGTTATTTCATATTACACATTACACACACTAATTGAAATGGCTTTTTCAATATATATGTAGCAGACCTTACATGACATGACATTCCTTACTAATGACACGTAACATAGTAACGGACGTGTAATGTTTAGAATATTGATTTGCAACTGCATTTTCGATGAATATATAGCATATATGTACGGTGTACTTACCATAGAAAATCGTGGCGTGTCTTGGTGAATCGTAGCAACGCGGGTCCAGTTGTAATATTCTAGTAACTTTAGTTTGGCAGGGTTGAAGTCAGCTTCAGAAGGAACGGTGCGGAAAAACGTAGGGTACTTCTCACGTTCTGATAAAAATGGCTCTGTGTTTGCGTAAGACAGCTAACCGGTGTACATGAAATACAGAGAATATAACAATTAATGTTCATGTTCAACGGCAAAACTGAACCACATCGTGTTTATTCTAACGTGGAACGATTTAAACAACGGCATACACCAAGTTCATCATAATATGCAATACGTTCCACCCGATTGCCTCATTGTTGATAACATTTATACTGTGTCGTCTTTATCGAGTGTTAAAGCGCGGGAGTCGCACCTGCGCATGCGTCAGATGGCCATAGCGTGTCATTATTTACAAACAAGCGTCTACCCATGAGACTTTGCGTTTTTAGCGCGTGTTTTTATCGTCGCGTGGGACTCAATTCCCGCGCGTGCGCAGGTGACTACCCCCCGCTCTAACTTCTCACCACATTTACATCTTTATTTTTATCAATCTAAAATATTGATAATCCCGTTTCCTTTTGATTTATTATCTCGGCATTGAGCAGATGATTGTATCCGTATAACAAAAACATTGCATGGAATAGTACTAATCAACCACGGCCGATAGTCTATGAAGACATGTCATAGACGAGTGTCTTCTAATCATTGCCGCCAATCTGTTTTTGCATATTAAATCTCCTATTATCATTATTAATTCAGGTTTGAAATAATGCGTGGATTTTAGTTTCTTTTCCTAATAAATGAAATAATAAATTATGAAACGCAATGATAAATTCGTAGCACCCTAACGCGTAAGCATCACAGACTGCGCATGTGATCACAAGTTTTCCGCCTGAATGTCACCGTGCCGCGAAGATGCGCCTAGAGTAATTCCAGACATAGCTCATCAAGTATCTATTGATAAGAACATTGATTAGTACAAGTGGGCTTATATTAGCTCAATCAACTCTTTCTCCCTAATGATATTTATCGTTGTGTTAGAGATATCAGCACTGGCCTAATCTAACCCTTCAACAAGCTAGCCATACAAATGATGCATGATTACCGCCTCACGTAAAAACAACAACATTTCAGTTCAAATGTTTCAAATTTCATTCGAACTGACTGTCTATAATACAAATTTGTTATATCCTTCTATCACAAATTTATTTCACGTTTATTTAAACAAACTTTGCATGCAGTGAGCACCAATCAATTAATCAATCATTAAATCTGTTGAATGTGCTCTAAATCGACGATGTTTTTCACGGCTAACAGGACGAATTTAACAATATGTGTTTTTCTTGAGAGAAAATCTCATACAATAGTCCATGACATCATTTGAGCAGGATCGAACCGAATTGAAGATTATATCACGTTCGTCATACCTTCCTTCTTATAACTTCTTTTTTTTCTTTATATAAATATGTTATAAATATTACAAAAAAAACCCTACAGAAGTTTAAAAATAGTGACAGTCAACGACTAATCGAGACTGACCCCTTGTAAATAGTGTAGAATTACACCATGGAATAAGCAATAAGTTCTTTTTCCTTGTAGGTAATAATGAAAAATATCTATATTAGTAAATTGAAGTGAATTAATATTATATGGAATGTTATAATGTTACACCATTATTTGTGGGTTCTTTAAACAAATCATATTAATCAAAACGAAAAGTAGTTCAAAAGAACTCCTAAAGTATTTAGTTTGATCATTTCCAATCAGCTGTTAATGTACTTTTTAAATGAATATATTAGGGGGTTCGACTTACCATCATGAATATGTTAAGGGGTCAATTCGCCGTCATGAATGTGTTAGGGGGTTCGATTCAACGTAATAAATATGTTAGGGGGTTCGATTAACCGTCGTGAATATGTTACGGGAGTTCGATTAACCGTGATGAATATGTTAGGGGGTTCGATTCACTGTCATGAATAAAGATGGGTGTAGCTGCCTCATATGAGTGATACAACTCACATCTGAATATGTATTCTCCGTTGTTTTCTATTAAACCCATTTCAATAATAACACCGGTAGCAATCAACACGAGGTTGAGTGAGTACGCGTCACGAGTAGAAAATAAATCTGATATTACCGGTGTATTATATTATTGCATTATAGTTATATATCGTTTATCTTTCACAATATTGATTGTCGTTATTTGAAATCGCGGTCACATTGATATAGCTGAGTTCGAGGAAGACGTAGTGAATGAATAAATTACAATTCACCAGGGAAATGTTGGTAACTTTTATATATAACCTTCTTGTTATTTGTTCATTACGTTGTGCGATGATATGCTATATGAATTGTTACAAATATTTGTAATATGAATGTAATTTGTATTAATTCCATTCGTTGAATACTCGGTATTTAATTACCCTCATAAATTCCTACCTACGCCGCCTTGCACTTACCCTTCGCAGTAGGTGCGGATTTTGCTTTTGGAATTTTCAATGTCTAGTCTGTTATGTTGGAAAAATATAATTGGACTATTTATCCGTTTTTTTCTGTCAGCTGACCGTTTTCTGGCACGTTTCTGTCACGTTACTTTCGCCAGCGTTGTGCGTTGATATGCGGTCACTGTGCGTTTTCTCCGTTTTAAAACGCCTTATACAATGACAGCGAGAGCACCGAATATGTGCCAGGGTATTTTCGCCACCGTATAATATTTTGTATACGTTGGGCGTCCGTAAACGCTATAAGATGCTGCTACATTATATACATGTACTTTTCTGTGCGTATCTCAGTCTATTCACTTTAGGTCCACGTGTAATACACACTATTTCTAGTCGTCGTATTATAGGACAGTCAACGTTACATGGTGGGGTGCGCATTTATTCATAGCGAAGCGCTTTGTCGAATTTCGACTTGCGCATTCTTATGTTCGCAATATGCCTGTAATTTAAATTACACACACTATATATGAGATGTGATTTTTTAAAATGTATCGTCGCAAAATAAAATCTTAACTAGGTTTAATCTTAATTTGAAGTGCGATGTTATATAAATTTATAAAACATTTTGTACAAAAAACGCAAATATAACAATGATAACTATGTTTAATTTGCCAGATTCCCCTGGATGACTTCAACTCATAAAACACATTACGTCAATCTCTTATTTCTGACAGGTGTTCACCTGAATACACTTGAGTGAGTGAGATATTACATACATGAACAATCCCAGCAGAACGAACATAGTGTTGACTTACCTGTACTAACTTCCACCATATAACAGCTTCTGCAATCGGAGCTGTGACGTTGGAACACACTCCGCCAAACACCATCAGTTTAGGAGGTCCCTCTGCCATGGCTTCGAAGAAGGCTTTTGTTCCTTCCGCCATTTCGCACTGTGAACAATTCAAAACAATGGTTCTTGTTACAGTATAAATAACATTGTTCTTCTATGTGTTTTATTACGCTTCATTTATTCACCCACATACATATTTCAGTTTGCAACATTCGTCCCTGATTCAAGATACTGCAAGATAATTACACTCTCAGATGACCTTTTCCTTCCCTCACAGAGGAGCCTAATTACATTTTGATCGTAGAGTATATGTTGGATGACAAGATAATGATGAATTACAGTCGAATGATAACATTCAGCTTATTAAACACAGCTAAATATAATTCATTTTAAAGTCATCAGCTAATCATTCACAATCCAAGATCTATATCAATATATGACCTATGCGTGTATTTCAGTATTAAACAAACAACAAATACATATTTGTGACATTAATAATCTAATCCGACATTACAAAACTGCAACAACCAAGGAAAATAAAATAATCGAACGTCATTTTGATGAAAATGTTGACTGCCGTCATATATTCATAATATTTGCTCAAGATGTTCATTTTTCGAAAGTTTAATTTATATTTCCATTAGGATTTCCAGTCAAATAGACAGCATGTCAGTTTTAATAACGATTACGATTGTTTTTTACTGTTTGAGATCGGATATGTGCTGGCAGTTCAATCCTCTTCAGACAGATACTCTAATTATGTTTCCAATTTCTTGCTCCTTGCGACCGATCATTTATTTTTTATCGATCACCTTAAGGAGTACTTCAATCAAGTTATCTTCCGCAAAGCTAGTAGTATGGTGAATTCGTATGAGGTCGGTTCAACATATTAAGTGCATGTCTATACGTAAGGTCGTTTGTATATTAAGCAAGGAAACAAATTTACAGCAGATTGATTGCACAAATAATAATTTGTTCATAAATTAGATATATACAATATATAAACTATTCGAGAGATGTCATCAACATCAGTCAGTATCGATATATACAGTATATCGTATTTGAAACAACGTGAAATGACATTTTATAATAATCTATATATTAAATTATATTGTCGAGACGAGAGTCGATCGAGACTGTAAATAAGGAGATTAGTTTGAAGCTAATTTGATCACTAATCTCCAGTTAGCTTCTTACAAGATTCGACTCCTTTGTAACGCCACCAGCAAATGTATGTATTTCAGAAGACTGACGTAAATAGCGAGCATAATCAAACCCCCATGTGACAAAAATGTTTGGCCAATATCAATTGCTATTTAAGAACTGAGAACATGTCATAATCAAGATGCTGCTGTATTATATTTATATTGGCTTCTGCTTTAGTGTTTATTCATACTTCAATCGTCTCAAATATGTCTCCTGTCTATACAACATGAAAGATTGTTATTGTTATTAATATTTGAAAATCATATTGTTAAACTATATGTTAAAGACTATCATACCAGTTTGCAGATGTTACCATTACATACGACGGAAGATCGTATTACGCGCTCCCATTGTATGTATTACTCGTGTATGGGTTTGAATCTCGTGTTGTGTATGGAATTGAACCTCGCCGTGTATGTGAATGTTCGTTTTCCTTTAATTATTTAAATACCAGTTCCAATTTTGATTAGAATTTATAAAAATATAATCATTGATTGCCGAAAGATTAATTAATTATTATAAAACTGTACTAATTATAGTGCTAGTCAACATTCCAATTATTCGTAATGCAAGGGTAAAATAGCTAGCGCCTACCATATTTAAACCAGCTCCCATGTGACTCACAAGATCCAGTTAGATTTGTAGGACAAAAGATTATAAAGTTCATGGTCACAGTAAGTGTGTATGTACATTTGTAATAGAAATTCAAGGCTGAAATAGCTAATGCTTTTAAACAGGTCACCAAATACGTTTCCTTCACGATCATAATACCTGAATTATTTATATATGTGTTGATATGGATAATGATATTGAAAAAATATTACAGGGCTTGGTATTTCCGAATTCTGTCGAGTTAATACTTAAAAACGTTTCCCACTTACACAGTTTCACAGCTCCTACCATGAGTGATATAAGGATTGTTGGATCTGGCACAATGTGGATAAATACTATGTTTATTATTAAATGATAAACTGTTATGATTATTCCCTGATACTATAGCCTATTGCAATATTTTATTTATTGTAGCATTCAATTGATAAATACAATTTTAGTTTTGGGTGTCTTTAATTTAAGTAATATGACATAGTTAATAACGTTGATTATGTAAAATCGCGCAAGAGAGTTTCCGCATACAACATGATTATGACATTATTAATGTGTATATTGAAACAAATATGGCGATTTTGGAGATCCTATCAGGTGGAACATTGCTCTGGTACATACAGTGAAATCAATGTAACCGTCTTTAGTGTGAATGTATCGAGTTTATTTTAACATATTTCCATTTTCGTGATTTCGAAGAAAACAACATATTTTGATCAGAGTAAAAAGAAAACATTGTAATGATATTATGTAAACAGAAAGAAATTATGTATACACACGGACTATGACATTATATATGCTGGAAGTTTGCGGTTTGTCTACTTTAGTTGAAGATAATCTAGATAAGACATTCCTTTCTGTAATTAATGTTATTTTCTCCGATCGCTCTTATACACGCTCTTCACATTGTTTGGTAATTACTTAATGTAAAAATGCAGATGCAAAGTTGTGGGCAGCGTTCCCCAACATATTTAGCCACATGGTCAATACAATCAAGCGAAGCTATGTATTCTTAAAACTGTTAAACACAGAATGTTAGTTTGTATTTTTTCATTTTGTTCATTTCTTTAATTTCATGAATTATTTCATTAATGTTGATAAAAACAGCGAGCCCGATTGCTTTAATATGTTTTAAATTGAAATATCTTAATCTTCTTTTTGAAACTGGCTAGGACTATTGCAATAATATATTTGTTGATTTTCCCTCTGTCTCTATCAGCCGACACCACAAAAGATACAGACATGCATAAAAATAGCTAAATTGAAAAATAACATACCTGACACTATTTTCCGCATTTATAATGTATGAAAGTGTACAATACTCAAAATATATGAGGAATGGATCAGTAGTATCAGGACCGTACAATTTCTTAACGATTTTATTCAGTTTGGTTGTCTTGCGTTAAGTAGCTCTAGATATACGTTCCATAAGCTACAAACATTCAAATTACCTTAAAAGTAAAGTGTGAAAGTGTATTCGAATGCTTTGCATAATTTGCAAGGCTTTACATAAATAATTGTGAAAGATAATGATTGAATCTCGCTATAATTTATTAGAAATACCAAATTTAAAATAACAGTAATCGGCGTGTGAGAGTTATAGCCACTGTATAATTTACATAGTGTGAATGATTATGCAAATTAGTCATTCTCCCAACAACTTACGTTTTAGAGTCGGTAAAGAGAGTTCAAACTTAAACAGCTTCTAGTGCTTTCAAGACTCTGGCACTTTCACACTATATTGGTCTACTATGTATGTACAGAAAATAAAACATCAGGAATTGCTTTATTCTCTTGTGACAATATACCAAGTTGTTAGGCACGTGATAAGCATTCTCAAGTATTTCACAATTTAGACATCATAAAAAACACTTCTGAAATCATTCTCTGAGAGCAATATAAAAAAACTGGACTTTTTTTTCAAATAAACACATGGATAAATGCAGATTCTGAAATCTATTTAGGCTTGAAACTCTCTCGATAACAGGAGAATCATTACGAAGGTATCTATACCATTTATACCTTAGTGGTATTTAAGTGGTAACTTCGAAATATTGAATATGTATAGTCAATATCATCTAAATATAAAACAAGCAAAAAATAATTGTTTGACGAACCTACACCCCGACAATGTCAGCACCGCAAATGTCATGTATCATTTTTACTGATAATAATTCTAATGTCAGGTGTATTCATAACAATTAACTGGATATACAGTTTCTAACACTAAGCGAATTGTGAGTAAATACCACTGATAATCTAATCATTTCGAACGTGTGACTATTCCTATTATAAGGTTATTTAACCACATCATAATAGTTAAACAACTACGGAAAATATTATTGAGCACATACGACAGAATGAAAATGCGTTAGTTGTGTGTACTTATAAAAGAAACCGAGATAGTATTTTCCCCATGCACAGTAAAAGTTCAACCCAGTCGAAAGTATTATTCAGTATAGATTCAGAAAAATAAACTATGACGAAACACTCAAACGTCCATTTGAATGCTTGTAATCACATTCACTCATGTCAATCATTGACAAGTATGTATGTCCATGCTTGTGAAAGTAATTACTGAAATTATATACACATATTGGAGATGTGTCTTCCTTGAGTTAGAGTGAACACACAATGCAACCTAACTTTTCAAAGTAAACTATAACGCATTAGTGGTCAATTAGTCTGTTGAAATACAGATCAATTTGCACGAAGTGCTGAACCAAATGCTCTGTCGACGTTAGTAAGATTAATTTTCGTCTTTTTATCTGATGCAGATGTTACGTACATTGTTGTTCTTGGAATATTAGATTTACCATTGAAGAATGTGTACGTTCATTTTTGATGTCAGACATGGACATGGGTTTATTAAAGGGTGGCTGTCGTCGCGCAATGCAAATTTCGTGTAAATAAACTACAAACGTTGAATAAGTCGCTATGGAATCGAACATGACATGGCGCCCCGACCATCACCCTTCATAGCTAATGTGTGTATGTATTCACATCAAACAAATAAACAGGATCAAATCATTTTATTCGCGGATATTTTTAGTTGAAACTTGAAATGTGGACACGACACGAATGGCGGATTAGCTTTTTTAATTTCTAAGTGATTAAAACTATCATTTTTCTCCTTTCAGTGATTTTGTGGACTAGTTCGTACATGGTAGTAGAACATAGAACACGGAAGGTCATATATATTTCTGGAAGTGAGAATTATATATTTCGGTGGCTACTTTGTTTTACTTGGCTCGCGTATGTACATACAAACCATTTTGCTTTTTGATCCGATCAAATTTGAACGACTGATGGTTTGGTTCAAAACTACCATTATTTGAATGTACAGTCAACCTTCTCTCGGACATCACCAGTTTCATTTGAATCAAACTTGATTTCATTTTCCAGATAAATAGAACAAACGTCCATTAGGATTTCAATTTTAAAGGCAAACAAACAATAAACACCGCACTGCATGGCGCCTCGTACATTTAAATATTGCACACTGACTAGTTTATTTGAGACATGAATATTCATGACTTTTCTATTATGATAGCGCATGTAGTTGACATTATCAGCAGATTTCAGAAGCTATGTAACAGTGCATGCGTAATAATTTTAGATATAGCTACGTGGAAAAGATAAAACAGAAGCCTCCTGATGGATTGTGTATACCCACATTACGTTTCTATTTATGTGCTGTCTGGGACGTTGGTCAAGCAATACAATCACGTACATCGCCATGCATTTAAGCACGTGGTACGTTACGCAGACTCACACAGATGAGGCGCTTTGGTGAATGGCAAATTAACTATGATGTTATTTTCTGGTTTCATTTACTGATTTTTATTCTACAATTGTGATAATTTTTCATAAATGGATCATAATCGGCATTACTAGAACAAATTCAGCATTCCATTATGGAAGATCGTTCACGATTTTCAGATTCGAGAAATGGAAAAAATGTATAACGTAACAAAGCAGAATCCGATTCTTTTATGCATTAATACAGCAGTCTGTCCTGTAATTTCAAATACATAATGTAATATGCTCTGTATACTACGAATATTCCTATAAGCCGGAATATGTAAAATTACAATTCGGATAAGTGAATATTTACTCACTTGCAACTTTTTTAATGACGTCATTACCGAGGTGCATTTTCGTTCGTATGTAAATGATTTAGTAGGAGCGCGCCACAGGTAAATCTGCCACTATTTTCATTGTTATGGCACATGAAAGTCGGTATACTTCGGGGTACTATCTTGCGACCACCACGTTAACATGATTTATGTAACAACTACTAATTGAATCATTTAAACATGTTTTGCACTGTCATGCAAAATTTACTGTGAAAACTCCGTAATATACAACGTTACCCACACATCACTGTATTTTAGACTGTTGGCGGATGGCGCCACAGTGAAAGCGAACCCGTCGCTCTCTAATAGAGAATGTATGTTTTCTCTAGACTAGTATTAAAATAATCCGAATTTGAAAATAAACACATTGTCGCCGCATTTAGTAAGATTATGTTTGATTCATGGTGACACATCAAAATACGTTATAGTTGTATGCTTAAATAGAAATGAGATTATCAGAGAAAAAATACCTGTGCAAATGAATAACTAAATACAATATAACTAGATAAAAAAATACATGATTGCACGAAAAGTTTATTACTAGCATGACATTGCCAAACTAATAACACGTTCTTGACTTTTGATTGTGTTTGTCAATATCCCTTGAAAATTAGGAACTAAACAGTAAATTGAAGCATTTTATTTCTTGCACATTTGCTGATAATAGCATATTGCATCTTGAATTTCGACGTTATAGTATGTACGTGTATTCATATGTTTATATTGGTTATGATCAGTAACCATAGGGCATATTCAGAACTATCTAAACAAGCATCTCCCAGAATCCACCACTCTGCATTTGTCACCTTACGATGTCTCAGTCTTGCACATTTGCGTACATAAACTGAACATAAGTGCATACTCAATCAGGTGAATCGGCTTTCGAGTATTCGTATGGCCACCCGCGAAGTTAGCTAGAGGACATCTCAATTTTAATCGTAATAGTAGTCACGATGCGAGAAATCCCCAGGCACAAGCTACTTCGGGAGCCTGTTCTGGCATTGATACACCTAAAATGAGAATCACTGTAAAATATCGTTGGCACCAATTAAGGTAAACGTTTAAAAAATGAGCCGCTATTAGGACTAAGACAGATTGAATGCAAGCCAGACAGTCTACAGACAGGAATCGCTGAATGTGAAATCGCGTTGTCGCCATGTTTATAAATGATATTTACAATTGCAACATTATAATACACTATCATGATTATTACACATTTAAAATATCGTAAACTAGTTCGCAAATGCTAGATTTATTGAACGCGGCACGTATTTACCACATGCAAAAGCTGCTGTAGACCGGGGAATATTGTATTCACAGTAAACACAACCGTCTGATATTAATTTCACATCACAATATATAGAATGATGAATTTATAAAAACGAAATTCCCAAAGGACAACATTGTTTCGGAGAGGCTTGTACACATTTCACCCTCGGCAATATAGTATAACTGTCAAGCATGCATGATTCAAGTTTTATCTCCACGGACTCGCGGTTTGAATTATCGATTCTTTCGATTCTGTCTTACTTATTTAGTATAAACAAATATAGAATACAAAGGTCAAAAACCACAAGAATCTTGGCAGGATATTTTCTATTTATCATTTAATTTATTCAAGCGAATATCATGTTAGAAATGTAACATTAGTAGTATAAATTATTGACGTAATTGATATGTTCGGCAGCTGTAGATAGTCACAGTATGTGTCAACATTACGTGTGCATGATGCAAAAACCATTACGTGTTTTAGTAAAAAGCAAGAGAAGCATATTCGGCGCCTTTAGTCTTATTTCATGTCTACCTCGACGTTATAAAGTCACTTGCATCTTACACGACAATTCAAACTTAACGAGGTCTAATATTTTCGCTGTGACTCTAACAGAAATGTAATATAAAAAAAACGACTTCAGCTAAAGTAATATTAGTAAACCCTTTTCTAGTATATTGATGTTATTTGCAAAAATTGAGTTGAAATTGAAATTAAGTTACGCTTTTTTAGTATATAGAGAAGTAAATCCAAAAGTTTTGCTACAGTTCACTCTGTTATATAAAAAATGTAAACCATTTGGTGGTTTCTGTATCATGTGATGTGTCCATCCAGGCTGGTAGTATTCGCTTTGTACCATTTTTGGTGATCATGAATGAATGAATTTGTCGAGAATTCCAATCTCGCACACGTATGTATAATACCTACTGGGAGCGGGTATAATAGCGACGCTATGGCCACTTACACTTACTACCACAATACTCTGGGTATAAACGTAACATTACATAGCTGCATAAAATATGTAACATTGACA